GGATCCATGGGATGGGATCGGATCCATGGGATGGGATCCATGGGATGGGGGAAATGGGGCCGGAGCTCTCCTGCTGCTCCAGCCCTGGGGGGGATTTGGGATTTGGGATTTGGATGGGTTTGGGGATGGGTTTAGGGATTCATTTTGGCTGGATTTGGGCTGGATTTGGAATGTGTTTTGGGATATATTTAGGATTTATTTTGGGATGGATTTGGGATTTTTGGATGTCGTTTGAGATGTGTTTTGAGATGCATTTTGAGACGCGTTTCGGGATATATTTGGGGTTTGGGGATGGATTTTGGCTGGATTTTGGGATATGTTTGGGATCTGGTTTTGGATGGATTTGGAGCTTATTTTGGGCTGTATTTCGAGATGCGCTTTAGGACGTATTTGGGATTCCGGGACGGATCCGGGCGGTGTCTGGGGCCCATCCCGAGCTGGAAACGCTCGGCTCCGTGCCCAGACCCGGATCCCAGCGGGAACAGGGGATGGGATTCCCGAGGGGCCGGGATTCCCGGGGCCAGGATTCCCAGGGCCAGGATTCCCGGGGATGGGATTCCCGAGGGGCCGGGATTCCGGAGGGGCCGGGATTCCCGGGAATGGGATTCCCGAGGGGCTGGGATTCCCGGGGCCGGGATTCCGGAGGGGCTCTGAGCTGGACACGGCTCCGTGCCCAGACCCCGATCCCAGCGGGAACAGGGGATGGGATTCCCGGGGACGGGATTCCCGAGGGGCCGGGATTCCCGAGGGGCCGGGATTCCCGAGGGGCCGGGATTCCCGAGGGGCCGGGATTCCGGAGGGGCTCTGAGTTCCCGGTTTCCCGCAGGACACGCAGAAGGCGAAGCAGTTCCTGCCGTTCCTGCAGCGCGCCGGCCGCTCCGAGGCCGTGGTGGAGTACGTGTTCAGCGGCTCCCGCCTCAAACTCTTCCTGCCCAAGGAAACCTGCCTGATCACATTCCTGCTCGCCGGTGAGCGCCGGGATCCGCGGGGATCCGGGGGGATCCGGCTCGGGGGGGATCCGGGATCTGTGTACTGGGGGGTTCTGGGATCCGTCTCCTGGGGGGATCTGGGTTTGACACTGTGGGATCCAGGATCTGCGTCCTTGGGATCTGAGATTGGCACTCCGGGATCCATGACCTGGGGATCCGGGATCCGTGTCCTGTGGGGATCTGGGATCAGCACTGCAGGATCCAGGATCCGTGTCCTGGGGATCTGGGATCCGTGTCCGGGGGGATCCGGTATATTTGTCCTGGGGGGATCCGGGATCCATGTCCTGGGGTTCTGGGATCGCCACCACAGGATCCGTGTCCTGGGGATCTGGGATCGGGATCCGGGATCAGTGTCCTGGGGTGATCTGGGATTGGGATCCAGGATCAGTGTCCTGGGGATCTGGGATCGGGATCCGGGATCAGTGTCCTGGGGTGATCTGGGATCGGGATCGGGATCCGGGATCCGTGTCCTGGGGTGATCTGGGACCGGGATCCGGGATCCATGTCCTGGGGTGATCTGGGATCGGGATCCGGGATCAAGGTCCTGGGGTGATCTGGGATCGGGATCCGGGATCCATGTCCTGGGGTGATCTGGGACTGGGATCGGGATCCGGGATCAGTGTCCTGGGGTGATCTGGGATCGGGATCCGGGATCCAGGATCCGTGTCCTGGGGTGATCTGGGATCGGGATCCAGGATCCAGGATCCGTGTCCTGGGGTGATCTGGGATCGGGATCCGGGATCCAGGATCCGTGTCCTGGGGTGATCTGGGATCCCGATCCAGGATCCGTGTCCTGGGGTGATCTGGGATCGGCACCGGAACACCCCCAGGCTGTGACGGGAACATTCCCTGGATTGGGGGCCCCGGATGATGAGGGGTCCCAATTAACGCCGGAGCTGGGAACGGGTCCGGTCTCCGTCCCCCGGGGACCTCGGCACCGGGATCGGCCTTTGGGATCCGGGGGCTCCATCCCTGCTCCCGCTGGGGCCGGGAATCTCCTGGGGAAATGTCCCGGTGCTGCCATCCCTGTTCCAGGGAATTCCTGATCCATGGGAATTCCTGATCCATTGGGATCCCTGTTCCACGGGAATTCCTGATCCATGGGAATTCCTGTTCCATTGGGATCCCTGTTCCACGGGAATTCCTGATCCATGGGAATTCCTGTTCCACGGGAATTCCTGATCCATGGGAATTCCTGTTCCATGGGAATTCCTGTTCCGTGGGAATTCCTGTTCCATGGGAATTCCTGTTCCAGGGAATTCCTGTTCCATTGGGATCCCTGTTCCGTGGGAATTCCTGTTCCAGGGAATTCCTGTTCTGTGGGAATTCCTGTTCCATTGGGATCCCTGTTCTATGGGAATTCCTGTTCCAGGGAATTCCTGTTCCATTGGGATCCCTGTTCCAGGGAATTCCTGTTCCATTGGGATCCCTGTTCCGTGGGAATTCCTGTTC